CCTCAGTGACTTGGATATCCTCCAGTTGTAAGTCTCGAAAGCATAGCCAGTCCTGCATCACCAAACAACTAAACTAACACGCTCAGCGCCCTGACATTGGAGCATCTTGAGGATACCTTCTACCGCGAGGCATTCCTAACACTCTCCGACGAAGCTTTCGCCCCTCTTGGCCTCTCTACACAAACCCTTGACGACATCAAGGCCATTGGCAAAACTGAGGCTTCTCACGTAGTCCTCCTTCAGTCTGCACTCGCGGGTAATGACATCACACCTGTCCAAGAGTGCAAATACGACTTCAAAGGAGCAACAGCCGACCCAGCTGCCATGGTTGCAACAGCTGCTATCCTCGAGAGCGTTGGTGTCTCGGCCTACCTGGGTGCAGCACCACTGCTCTCTGACCCTGCCATCCTCGGCACTGCTGGCGCAATTCTTACTGTTGAAGCACGACATCAAACCGCCATCAGGATATTTTCTCAGGCACAGGCGGTTCCTCAACCTCTCGATACCGCCCTTGGTCCCCGGGCAGTCTTCTCACTCGCCGCACCCTTCATCACGGAATGCCCTGAGGGTTCTAACCTCAAGATCGAGGCGTTCCCCACTCTCGCTATGGCTGAGGGTCAGGACGTCAAGGCTGTAGCCATTGGAACTAAAGTGAAGCTTGCTTCCGAGGCTGCCGCTGGAGCGACGCACTGTGGTTTCACTTCTGGAGGTCAGCTTCCTGGTGGAACCAAATTCACTCCCTTCACTGAGGGAGATGGCTGTGAAGTTCCCCAAGGAGCTGCGGGCGTTGTCTACGTGACCTTGACCAGTGCTGGACCTTTGGAGGGCGTTTTGTCAGATGACATTACTGTGGCTGGGCCTATGGTACTAACCCTTTCTTAAGGGAGCTGTCGAGAGGCGCTGGTGGTCGTGGTGGTATGGTAATGATAGATATCTTATATCCAATGTAGACTGGAGAGCTTCTCCGCTCATATCAATATAATCGCTGGTCACTTATAAGACCCTTAAGAAGCCACCAGTTGTGTAGTCTGACTTTTTCTCTCTTTTTTTTCTTTCGTTTTTTGTGTTGAATTGTGTGTGAAAGCAGTTTTCCTGACTGGATATAGTCCGCATGTTGGATATCACCAACCTGCCTATATCTACTAGGGTCTTAAATGCTTCGTCCAACGACCTCTGGAGCCGCCTGGCTGGGGACGTGTTACCATGCTCTCCAGCACCACCTCCTCGCTGACCTCAACCCATCCCCACAAGTCCTGCTGGCTACTTCTTCGACACGTCTGCTGATGTGATAACTTTTATGTCCCTGACTTTTATGCCGCCCGCGCCAACGCCGCTAAGTCTGCAAGACGGTTTGTGACCAAAGGGGCCACGCTCAAAGACCACTAATATAACATTTGCCTTATATATGCCTCAAGCCTCGGCCATGCTCTAGAAAGGTCGCGCCTCGAGGTATGCCTGAGCCTTGGTCCATGCATCCTTATCTTCCGCACGTAGCTCGTCCGTACCCAGCATTTTAACGCCCTTAACGAGTGCATCGATAAAGTCACGCACGACACGGAAGTCCTTAGTTAGTGACTCGGCATATGGCACAAATGTCTTAGGGAACTCTTCCAGCCGCTGTAAGCGAGCCTCCTGGTCCCCTCCAGCTTCATCGTCATCGAAGAAGGTTCGCACAGCAATGCCGAGGCCGATGTCGGGCTCTTGATGGAAAGGTAGCCTGTTCAAGTGTCAGTGGTGTCTAATGAAGGATGAGGAAGAAATGTACCGCCGACTGATTTCCAATTGATCATCCCTTTCACGCTTCGACTGTCCATACAAAAACATTGAAGCCACAATCGCCTCAACCAGATCTCGATCAGCTTCTCTCACTGCCGATGCTAAGGACCAGAAGCTGAGCAGGTTTTTGTTAAGCGGACCAGTGTATCCATAAACCTGGTGCCGAAGCTTCAACAAGGAAGCGCACTCGCTGATCAGCACAAGAGTTGCTTTTTCTTCATAAGAACCTTTCCGGGGCAGGCCAGCCTGGCCTTCAGTGTGTTTCCCTGTCAAAAGTCCGTTTCGGATGAGTTCAAATGCAACCAGGGCTGCTTCTGGCAGACCAGTCACCTCGGGATGGTTCTCTTTGGCGTCCTGGAGAATCAGAAGAGTATTGGCCAAGGCATTACCCCAAGGCGTAAGTTTATGCTCATCATTGGCGTATCCTCTCAGGTGGAGAAATCTCCAGATGGCCACCGAGGTCACCATATCTGTGCTGTCGATTCCCTTTATGGGCCTCTCCTTAGGGAATGTCTTGGCCACAAAGTCGGAGTTAACAAGTGACAAGACTTCCAGCGACACGGGGCCCGCGAAATCATCAGGGAAGAATGCACGAAGATCTTCATCCTTGACACTCCAGCTGGCAACCCTCTGGGAAGGAGGAGGGTTGACAGAGCGGTGGTTGATAGTGTAAGAATATTTGGGGTCAAACCAGACACGAACTTTGATGTTTTTGTGCTGGATACCTCGGTGAAGTCTGGGGATCAACAGAGAAAGGGCCTGCTCTTTAATGGGCACTATTCTGTCAGTGATGAGCTTTTTGTATTCGTCCGAGGCCACTCCGTCCAAGGTTGGCTGAATGAGAAGTTGACCGTGGGTGATGTTCCCCAGTAGGCGGGGCCCAATCAAGCCGGTGTTGAGATAATGAAAGAGTTCAGCTGGCAACTGGAGGCCCAGATATTCATGGTTGTCACTAGTCAAGTGCTCATAGTCGTTCACACGGATTTCGCCACTCTCAGCGATGTAAATGAAGTGGTGGACAACCATTCTTGCCTTGCGATACTTGTCAAGCCAACCAGAGTCCTTGCTTTGGAGTATATCGTTGAAGCTGGCGCAAGCAGTTGCGACACTGTTTTCTGCAGTCCTCAGCAAGTTGGCGGCAGTCGAAATATTGTAGTCCGAGTATATGGAGCTTTCCAGAAGAGCAGGGAATGGAGGCAGGAACGATGTACCGGCCATGAGAAACGAGTCGATGAACCTTGGCTCACTTGCAGTGGGTGTGAGACTGCGCATAACCTTCTTCTTCGAGATAGCAGAAACGGTCTTGGCTTCCCAGTCGAATGCCCGAATGACAGAATCCTTGACAGGGTACAAGAGAAGTTCCTGAGAGCCCATCACACCCGAGCATTGGTCTGAGTCGATCATCTCAAAATAGGCGAGCTATTACTATCAGAATGAGAGTGACAAGTCTTAAAGTTCATAAGATACGCACCTGAGCGCACGCAGTGTAGGGCGCAACCAAGAAGTGAAGTCCACGGTTCTTCAGAACCGTTTGAAGCAACGGGTAAAGATTTTGAATGCGAAAGGCACCTATCATGACCTCACGTTAGGTCGATTCCTGAAACTGAGAGCCAAAGTTCACCAACCTGGGCTAGTACCGAAGGTCGTCACCGCCTCCTCAGCAGCCCCCTGAGAGTACAAGTTCCAGGCCTCATCTGTCTTCTTGTTGGCCTTGAGGCCACGATCCAGAGTGATGTCATCTTGGCCGGTCACGGGCTGGCCATCGAAAACGAAGAAAGGGACAATCTCGGACTTTGCCCAGAGATCGAGGTTCTGGTTTATGTGTGCTTCGACCCCAGTCAGGCCACCGAGAGCTGACAACAGAGGTTCATGGGCAGGAGGGGTTTCGAGAAGCTGGCACAGGTAATAGGTTGCATCAACAGCGATGGCGCATCCTTCGAGCTCGGAGATGTCGTGGGTGCTATATTGCTTTCTGTTAGCGCGAATATGTTTGGGAGGGTAAGTCGCATGGCACATACGAAACCTGGTCATTAATCCAGGAATCCTCAACAAGGACTGGTTTGAGAGTTAGCACAAGCTACAAAAACTAAATAGTAAGGATGTCGCAGAAGAAAACCGACGGAGAATGGGTATTCATCGTGGTGTGATCTTCTCTACGATGAGCAGCTGCTGGGGTGACCAATCTACAAAGCCAAGACTGCAATTGACTTTGCACATGGCCTGGAAGCTTCCCCATGAACAACTGAGCTCGCAGGATCTGCGTCAACCACGTTGGGAAGCTTTTGGCTGCCGCAGCATATATTGCAAGCTACACAATTCCATGCTGAACCCTGAACCAGACTGGCTCTGGGCCAAGCCTGCTCCTAAGCGCACAGGGTGAGACTCACATGGCATCTCGAAAGACTCGCAGCAACTCGGAAGCCCGTGCTATAATTCTTGTACTGGAGATCGGCGTTTCAGGATATTTTGCGGCAGGGTATCGTCGGTCGATCGAAGAGTGAGGAGTAGAAATCGCAGGCGTTGGCGGCAAGGCGTTGATGTTGACGAGATATGGCGGGGTTGAAAGGACCACCAGGTGAGTTAAGGTACTGGCTTGGGGCTGAATGGCGCAGCCGGTGAAGAGAGAAGGCACCTGACGGGCCGTCGGAGGGGTCGTGATGATGACAGCGAGAGACCGACGTAGGGCGGAGGGGGGAAGTAGAGAAAAAGGAAGATTTTGCTATGATTTTCGTGGGGAAAATGAAGGTTTGGAGAAGGTATCTTCAGCTTCAAACGGACAGCTGGTGGAAGACGTGACAGGAAAGTTTGGCGAGTTCCAGTGGCAGGGACGTACCTAAACGGTACCTGCCTACCATGCCACACGATCACCAAATGAAGCGACCTACGGGCGGGACGGGACATTCTAACCGCTACCATCCATTGCCAACCAGGGGAAAGAGCGGGCAGCCCTCATGAATGTGGCTAGTGGAAGTAACCTAGGTCTGACCACTGATGTGGCTGTGCAGAGCCGAACTTGCCCGAGATAGGTAGACTACTTACAGAGGTACACTCAGTTACCATGAGGTACGAATGAGGATGGTGGGGTATATGACGCTTTTTGTACCTCAGCAGATAAGGAATCAAAATCTCCAATTGTTCGCTACTTAGAATCCCATCAGACCAGAATAGAAGGCCGTCGCTTGTATCTCATCTCCCATCCCTACGGTCTATTACAAAGTGCAACCATGAACTATCCCATGAGAGACAAAGCTGCTCACTTCAGACGGCCTCTGGGGCCAGACCAGAACACGGCCAACATACCTATCATTGACATTTCTGCTCCTGATGCCGACCAAAAAGAAGTTGCTAAACAGCTTGTCGACGCTGCTGAAGAGCATGGGTTCATTTACATCCGCAACCTGGGCCTTGACATTCAAGCTAAGGACATTGATGGGGCGTTTGATCTTGTGAGCAAGAGAAGCAGATCTATTCGAATTGATCGGGAGTTCAGGTGGCTGAGAATACCGATATAGGTCCGAAAGACGTTCGAATGCCCCTTGGAAGAGAAGCAAAGGTGCACGATCCAGACCAACAACCGTGGATGGTCTGGCATGCACTCCGAAACACTGGATCCTAAACATCAAAAGGTACTTTTGCGTCGTTCTTCCAATTGAGTACTTTATTGGGATAAAAGGCTAATTCTCTTAACTTAGGTTGGGGACTTCAAAGAGTGAGCAGCTTCCGAGGCATTCCATGATATGTCACTAAAATAGCAACCGCAGAGCCTTCAACTTTGGCGAGTTCGCAGATGGGAAAGCCCAACAGCCTCTCCCATCTGACCTGGTTTCTCATGAGCCTCAGATAAGTGCTTTTGCTAACTCATGCCATGACCTCTGCCAGAAGCTTCTATACCTGCTTGGTCTAGGTCTCGGTGTAAGTCGATTCAGAAACAATCAGCCTCAAGCATTATCTTATTGTAAAACCAGGTCGACGATTTCTTCTCCTCTGCTCACAACACAGAAAAAGGCGCTTCGAGCTCTATACTTCGCTTTCTGCGTTATCCACCCCCGGAATCTACTGCACACTCCGAAGATGACATTCGTGCTGGAGCTCACTCAGACTACGGTTCTGTCACTCTCCTCTTCCGTCTCAAGGGACAAGCAGGACTCGAAGTTCTCAGAAAGGATAACGTTTGGGCACCTGTTCCTGTGTGTCCTGATGGCACTGAAGAAGACCCCAGCCCGCCCATTCTCGTCAACATCGGCGATCTGTTGTCATACTGGACGAACGGACTCTTCCGCAGCACTTTACATAGAGTCGTCTTCCCCTCAGAAGGCAGCTCCGGGGTGCAAGGGGAGACAAGCAATGGGCCAAGGTATTCAATCGCGTACTTTTGCCACCCTGTCGGGGCCGCACCTCTTGAGCCTGTCCCTAGCGAAAGAGTGAAGAACTATACCCCTTCCGAGGGAATGTCCAGCGAGAACCCTTATGCTACAAGAAAGGTCATGACAGCTGATGAGCACCTATTTATGAGACTCAAGGAGAGTTACGGCGATCTGTATGAGGAAAAGTCATAGTTGTATTACACATGTTAGGACAGCACAATCGGTTTCTTTATCGATATAGTGATTCGTTCGTCATAAGCTAATGTGGTCTACTGGCTGTGTGTTTTCATCACAGAGCTCTCATCACCGGGTTCTTGGTTCTAGATAGTGTGAAGCTTCCAACGCATGCGCCAGTCAGAGAACCCATGAAAATATTTCTCCTCGATAGACTCGTCCTCTTGTGTCGTGAGATAGGGCAAAAAGCGCCAGTCGTGAATTTCGATATGCGTGCCTTTGTTGAAAAGATGGTCCTTGCGAAGCTCCTTGAACTTCTCCGCTACGTCCTTGAACACAAGTTCGTTGTCACTATCGCACACAACATAAGCCTTTGAAGGTGTAGTGATTTTCCCGTTTTGTCTGGCCTCGTTCTCAGCTTTGAGCCATGTGTCGATGTCAGTGACAGGGGTGTCAACACCATGCTGAGCGAGAAGCGTTTTCGCTTCTTTCATGGCGAGAAGACCCGGCGAAACGAGTACAACTGCATTTGCAAGCATGCAGTCTTCGCCAGCATACACACATTGTCCTTTCAAGGCCGTTGTTACTTTGGTTATGGACGGTTTCAGGCGCTCAGGTTTGGTCTCTGTCTGAAGCTCGCCAGTGTCTGGGTCAATGATGAACTGTACGACTTCAGCGTTAAGCCCGTCGGAGTTGCTGAATTCATCAACGAAGCTCTCACTCGGAGAGGCAGGACAACATGGTGCGCAAGAAGACATTGCGGGCTGAGGTCGCGGGTTGTTGTCCCTGGCGGCGAGAGGCGCGCGTGGTTGTGAAGCAAGATCAATGTGTGGGGAGTCTTTTTGGCTTATCGATGCTTCACTGCTACTCCTCAAGCGTTTGTGCTGCGAGTTTGGTCCAATGGAGTGCAGGCTATGTTTGTGTTTGCGAGCTGAACCATCGTCACGCACGAAATTGTGCGCCAAAGATAGTGTAGCTGTTATGGAAGGCAAATCCAAAGATGGGGCCCCGTGAACTCTTTCGCGTCGGCCGCGGCAAGGGCTGACTTCAACTGGTGATTTTTTAGCCAAGGGCGATGTTGGAGACCGTGTAGAGGTGGTGTTTTGTGTTGATTTGCGAGGCGATGGTGTTGGCATAGTAGTCACTGTCAACTGGCTCACAGCGTCAACAGCAATACCACGAGGGTCAGCTGCTTCGAGTTTTGCAATCCACTGCAGATTTTCCTGGCTATCTTCTAATTTGCCGGTGGTCGTAGCCTCCTCTGCCAGCGCCTGCAACTGCTCGAAGGATATGGTGTCAGTGAAGTCCCGGTCAAAGTGAACTTTGGTCACCGAAGGAAATCTGAGACTCCAGAAGCCAGTATTTCCCACTCGGTCAAAACTGAAGCATTTCAAATCAAAAACCAGAGGCCTAGTAAATATAAACGTCGGCGGTGACCCTTGTTCAACTCCGGGAGCCAGTTTGAGAGCTAGTGCCTCATTGTCGTCGGGAGAAACAGGCTCCGGGGTTGAATAAGTGACAACTTCTCTCAGCATAGTTTCGTTCAGCTCTACAACATTGACAATGGTGAATTCTGGCTTAGCGCCCCAGCTTTTGACTGCTTGTCTGTTGTCCAGACAGCCAATATAAAAATGAGTCCACTTAAGCCCAGGCATCCGGTAACTCAATGCTTTTGTCGGGTCATATCTGGCACCGACAACCGAAAAGTCGCCAACATCTCCAAAATTGCCAATGTATTCCTTCTTGAGCTTGATGCAGCAGCTCGAAAACCTTCGTCTCTGGTCTGTAAAGTCGAAATATGGCTCATCTGGTTTCAAAACAAGGCCTTCTTTCCGAGCCAAAATAACCATGGCAAAAGCTTTACGAAGAGTTGAGGCTCCCAGAGGCTGTCCAAAATCAATAACTTGGCGCGGAACGAGGCCCGCCCATCCTTTACGGCAACAAATGAGGCTGGAGAGGATCTTAAACCTCTCTGAATGCCTCAAATTGATCAGAGACTGATCCTCTAAGAGCATGACGTCGTAGTAAATTATCATGAGGTGTTCCTGAGGCCCAGGCCTAGGAGTTTAGTAACACATGGCGAAGAAAGTACGGAAAACTTACAAGGAGTCTAGCTCTGTGTTCAAAAACCTTCCTCTTCGTGATACATGCTTCCTAATCCTATGAAACGGAAGTATCTTCTCCTGCTGTTCTGTGTGAGAACGAGCTAAAAAGATGACTGAAGATACCTACAGAATCGTCATATACAACCAATTCCCCTTCCAATATGCACGCTTTCTTGACTCGGGCATCGGGCTGTCCAATCTTGAGTGATTCTAGTATGATCCTGTCCAGGGGGTCAGTTCGTATTTGGGGGTCGTATCATTTGTACTGACCCGTGAAGTGCTACTCTATCTTCCGTGCTATCTTTGCCGCTCTTAGAGAATATCTGTATGCATTTATCCCCCTTGCTTGGATCGACGTGAATCTGGCAATATTCGCCATCAATCTTTTCCTCCACACTCATGCGCCAATGGCCCATATCTAGACAATGCTTGATGCTTCGCCCCTTGACCCAGGGTTGACGTCCAATTTTGACACCCAGTTGAGGTTTAACTGTGCCCATAATCTGTTCGCGTGGTGTTTTGCGTCCAGAATTTGGAAGAAGCCTTCCTCGTATTGCTTGAAGGGAAGTGATCGCAGTGGCAAAATCATCCTGTATCTTCAGAACGCAGGGCAAAATAGGATCGCACAGTCGATATATAAGGTGCGGGTCTAGAGCGAGCGGCTGGTAGCTTTTCAAAACGAGCCGCGTAAACCATTTTGCCTCTGTTGCGCTCAACCTTCTGTAGAGGCTCTCAAGATCAGTCCTGTTGCTTGGACTTAGGCTAGCCTGTGAGGCACGAATCGACGGGGAGCTCCATTTTATTTTGGCGGCGAGGGAATGAAGAAGTTGGTCAATTTCTTCAACTGTAACAGGGTTTTTATGATCGTAGCTAGGGCTTGGCTAATACATGATCAGCTGGCAGCTTCCAAGCCTCGGGTATACTATACTCACTGTGACTTTGAGGATGCGAAAAACACAATCTGCCAAATCGACACCAGACCCGGGCTGGCGGTACTGAGCTAACTCCTTAATCCTTGACGAGCCAAGTAGATATGCACGGCCAATAATTCTCTCCAGGCGGGCAGATTGGATACAGTAAACTCGATCGGTCCTTTTTTCAGGAAGAAGTGTCGATAACAGAGCCGGGAGGTCCGTATCGTGAGCATCTACGTAATTGCGATGGCGAGTGAACCACTTTGTGACAGTGTTGGAGCAACTCTTCTTATCAAGAGAAAGAAGGGAGGATTGCTCGAGCAATTCACAGACCAGAGAGAATGGAAGCGGCATGCTGAGAGGTCATTATGCCTCGGTAGTCATCCAAAAAGGTGTCGTTGTGTGAGAACAAAGAACAGCTCACGACTTTGATTTCGCAGCTCGAATGAACGGGTGAAGGTGGTTCAATTGTTCATACTAAAGTGGAGAGAACAGGCAGCACAGTCACGGTATGAGAGCAAAAGATGCCATTCTCGGAAGCTTCTAACAAGGGACAGTGGCAGTGCCTGAGGTGGTTTGGCGATGGATGTACCTAGTGAGTGAGATAATTTACTTGTCAGCCAGAGCTGGGAACCTGCCCTGAATGGAGAGGACGCGAAGTTGACGCGAAAGTCACATGATGTATCAATTAAGAGTACCTAGGTACCTACTCCAGAAACACCGATCAACCTACGGATACACATGCACTATACCAGTTATTTTTTCAGAGAAGTTCCTCGGCGTTGTAAGATGGGTTTTGCAAGGCAAGAAAAAGAAGATAAAATCTTGAATAATTCCTAATGTCGCTTGCGTACTGTACCAGGATATTCACAGCTGAGCTATAAGATCATCCTCTTCATGCACTATCATTATTATTAGAAAGTCTAGAAAGTCTGGAAGGGAAGGACGACCCAAAGAGCAATAGTCAACTAGATATGCAAGTCAGCTTACGAGTGCAATTACTACCGACCTGTAATTACGTGCAGCTTTGGCGACGGTGCTGAGTTGTGCTCAACTCTTCTCGATCTGCAATTTTAATGCAAGGTCCGCTGCAGGCGCAAAGACAAGAATGGGAAAGACCCCTGACCCTGGATGACAGGGTCACGGGAACGAATTCTCCATCGTCGTGACGAACATCGACCCGTCAGCCAGGTCAGTCAGTCCAAGATGCTTCAGTAGTACCAAGCAGCCAATGATGGTAAGGAGATAATTATCATGAACTAGGTTTGTTTGACAAAGGTAACTACGGGCAGTGCAGGCGCTCGTTTGCCGTCGTCTTGTAACCCTTGCCTAACAAGAAACGATCTAACGCACAAGCTGCAGTAGTAGCCCGTCGAGCTGGCAGTTCTCTTGACAACGGATCAGAAGGAGAGGCTAGCAACGGGGCGGTCTGATGAATCGGGCATCGAAAAAAGTTGAAACCAAGAACTTAGAAGTTGAGATGGCCGCCCTGTGAGTCAAGCTGGGGGATATGGTCCACTTCCCACAAGGCGTTGAGCTCGCTCGATAGATGGCGCAAAATGGGGCAGCGACAGCTGGTTGTCGGGGTCAGGTGGTGCGATTGTCACAACCTGTATGAGACCTGCGGGTTGGGCCGTAAGTGCAACATTTTGGGTCAGTTCGCATGGCACTGGCATGGCATGGTGTTTTGATGGATGCCGAGGATCCATCCATTTATTTGATTGATTTATGAGCCTCCCTCCATAACTGCCTACCTTACCTATGTATGTAAACAAACATGCCCCAATTTCCAACACATGAGACCCTGCTGCAGTAACATCTACAATTCATGTCCAATACTTTACCTTGCCTGGCCTTATTAATCCATGATCAAGTTCACGCGCCCCGAGTATTACACGCATTATATCCTCAATTACAGGACCACTCGCCTACTGAGACGTACGGATACTTGTTCGCGGCTCCAGTTACCTTGACAGGGCTGCCGTCGAGTTGGCCATTC